AAAAAATTTGACCAGATTTAAATTGAGTATAAAAAGCTTTAGTAAGTTTTGATAAGTGCTACTATTATGATAGAATAAATTGACAATAGTCTCTGGATTTTTAATTATATTAATGTATGCTAGGTAACTTTTTTGATTTGTTTAAAGTTATTAAATTATGTATGTATCAATAATACAATTTATGCAGTATGAATACATGTATTGAATTACAATTACTCATCTGGATAAATGAATTGCCAATCAAAGAATATCATCACGTAAATAATATTACCTAATTGGTCATACTTGTTTTTATTTATGCATAAAAACTTTCATAATGCTTGCTTTTTTGATAAAATAGTATAAACTGTTTTTATGCATATTATGATCATTGTAATGCATTAGGTTTTTTCATAGTATTATCACTATAAAGTATTATCTGATTTTTGTTTACTAATTTTTTTTTTTTTTTACTATATTTTTAATCACTCTAGTCTATACAGTGGGATCAGGTAATAAATTTGTTAAGTTTTATTTTAAATTTTAGATTTAAAGTTGTTATAGTATAAATTTCTTATTTTTTTTAGTATATAAATAATAAGTTACTGTCATATAATTTATATATAAGTAGCAAAAATTAATTTAGTTGATTATCTTGTATTTTAATAGTATTGGTATAGTTATTTTTACCAATATTTTATTATTTATTATTATTTTATTATTTAAATAATTTATCTTGCTTTTATTTTGATTTTAAAATGTGCTTTAGAAAAATTAGTTGTCTTTTAAAACTAGTATTGAGATGGGCTTAGCATTTTATGTATTGAATAAAAGTATTACTATAAATTTTATTAAATAAATAAATTTGTTCTCATGAGAACATAAATCTCAAAACAGATTTCCAACACTACAACAGACAATGATTTTCTCCTTCTGATCCAAGATTATTGTATCCAGATTTCAAAGAAATCAGCATAGTGTTCTTGCAAAGTGTATTTGCTAATACTCTTTCTCTTTCTAATTCAAGATTATTCATTCAAAGCCCAAAGAAGTCAGGGTGACATTCTTGCTAAGTGTATCAACTAATGCTTTTCCTCCTTCTAGTCCAGGATAATTCTAACTAAGATCTAAAGAAGTTAGCATAGTGTTCTTGCAAAGTGTATCAGCTAATGCTTTTTCTCCTTCTAGTCCAAGTCTATTATAACTAAGATCTAAATAAGTCAGAGTGGCATTCTTGCAAAGTGCATTAGCTAATACTTTTTCTCCTTCTGATTTAAGCTCATTATGATAAAGATTCAAAGAAGTTAGAGTGGTGTTTTTGCAAAGTACATTTGTGAATGCTTTTCCTCCCTCTGGTACAAGATAATTCATGCTAAGATCTAAAGAAGTCAGAGTAGTGTTCTTGCAAAGTGCATATGCTAATGCTTTTCCTCCTTCTGGTTTAAGACTATACTTCCAAATATTTAAAAAGGTAAGCAGGTATTCTTGCAAAGTGCATTAGCTAAAGCTTTTCCTTCAATTAATCCAATATTAATATGATTTAAATCTAAAGAAGTCAAAATAGAATTCTTATAAAGAATTTTTACTAATGTATCTATTTATTTAGATTTAAGATCAAAACTAATTTCAAATAACTCCAGTTATATTCCTATAAAGATTTTCTGATATTATTTGATTGCAAATAATTTCATTAAGGTTTAAATGTTTAAGAGTTTTATTAGTTTGTAGAAACACCAAAATCAAAGAATATTTAATAGCATTTTCAAGATTATATCCTGTTTTATATTCTCTATTGCAAAGCTAGTTTCTAATACTATTATACAAATAATTATCAACAGATGTGATATAACTTGAATATTCAAATAGCAGTTTTGGGAACAGAGGGAAACATTTAAATATAGATATAATTTTCACTCTCTATTACACAGATCACTCATTGTATCGACTAGTCAAAATATCACTATGAGATTTGTCAACCAATCAAGTTGCAAAATTTACAAAAGGACAAAACTGTGGGATTCAAGGGGATTCAAAAAATATGTTATAAAGCAAGGTGAGAGCTTCATGTTTGTTTATTCATTTTCAATATTTATAGAAAAGATAAGTCAAATAAGCTTTCCAAAAAAGTATTGTAAAATAATATAAAAAAATTTTTTATCAATTGTATAACAATTTTATGATATTCAATATTTTCTTCTGTTGGTTTTGGGTGACTCAGAATAGCGATTTTAAAAAGAATTAATAGAGTTTGCTCTTGAGTATTTAATGTTAAATGAAATATTTCTGTAATTTTTTATCTTTAAAGTGGAGCTTTGGTTCACACCACAATATTGGGATAATAATTCTACACCATTGATGGTTTACAAGAGCACATGAAAACATGTTTTTATAATCAGACTGAAGGTTATTAAATATTTGGTAGTAGCATTTATTCAGTAATGTTATTATATTGAAAATTTCTGCAATATATATCCAGAATAATTTGTAAAAAGTGATTTGTATTATACAAAATTTCAATTCTGAATTTATTGAACAATCAAGGTTACATGTAGAGAGCATGTGTATGATTCCTTAATTGTGCGCATTTATGCGTATGTTTAGGAATAGGAAACTTAAAGTATATATAATTTAGGCCAAAGAGGACAGAATTAAGGAATATAGTTATAAATGTTTTGAAAAAATTACAAAAAAAAAATGAATCTATAATGGCACTTTTGGTAACTCATAAATAAATTATGTTAATTTAATGCAAGCTAATTTAAAATTATTTGCAGTCACCAAAATAACAAGTTTTATACCAAATTTTTTTAAATAACTCATGAAAGAAATTGCAACAATTTTATTGCAAAAACTAACTCATCTTAATATTGAAATAGCTGTAATAAAACTATTTATAGTATATAACTTAATAAAATGCACAACAATTCTAATACAAACCAACCACATATTGTTGTCACCAAAATAACAAGTTTATAAAAGAATTATTAACAATAAAATTTTTTAGTAACTTAGAAATAAATGTTAATCTCATTGTAAACTGTAATCACCAGAATAACAAGTAAGTTCTGCAACAAAATTATTTACAGTAACTGATAAAAATTATGACAATTACAAGACAAACTAACTTAAACTTAACTATATATTATGCTCATTGGAATAACAAGTAAGTTCTGTAGTAAATTTTTTACTGTAATTTATAATAAAAAAGGTATTATAATTTTAATGCAAACTAACTTAATATTAACTACATACTGTAGTCATGAAATAACAAAATTATTATTATTTTGATGCAAACTAACTCGCCTTAACTGCATATTGTTGTTACTAGAATAGCAAGTAAGCTCTATAGCTGAATTTTTTTAATAACTCATAATAAAATCATATTAATTTCAATATAAACTAACTCAAACTTAACTATATAGAGTTATTCATACTAAAAGAGTACATTTTGCAATATAAACAATTTTGAGATAATCATTTGTTTTAATTTTTAGACTGATTCGGGATTAAGCAAATTTCATAATTTTGATTAGTTAAAAGTAACAGGTAACTATCAGGTAATCTCATAATATACTTGACCTTAGACAGCTTTGTGTAATTTTTCTTTACATTATCTCTATTTTTTATTATGCAAATCATATTTCATTTATAATTGAAAAATGTCAGTCATGTCAAAATTTATATGAATCTAATAAAAGCTCATTTTTTAAAAAATTTGCAAAATGGGTCTTTTTAGTATGAATAACCTCATATACTTATTAGAAATCACGATAATTCAGATACAAACTCAATCACATAACCATGCTAGTAGTAGATAAAATGATAAATAAATATAGGCTGTCTTATTAATGGTGATACATTATATATTATTATTGCAAGTTAATAAAATTTATAAAAAACATCCTAATTAATTTATATAGAAAAATAGCCAAGGTTTTGAAATATATATACTATAATTACAGAGTTATGAGTATATATATATTGTATGTTAGTTATGTGATTTGTGTTCTTAATTTGTAATTTCGTAAAAGATGATTGTCAATATTAGAGGAATAAATTCATTGTATATAAAAGTTTTAAATTTATTATGCGAATTATATGTTGTTTATTAACTAAAATTTTAATTGTATCATTTTATGTATATTATAAAATTTTTATGAAATTTAAGTGACTTTTATATTATACGTTTTATGTCTAAACATTAGCTAAAAAAACTTATTAATTTTTCCAAAGAAAATTTGACTTTTAAAATATGTGGATTGAAATTGTAAACACCACATAATTTATTAAGAAAAGTTGTTCTAAATATTTGAAAATATATATTCTCAAATTTCATAGTGATACATGAAAATCTTTTTATAAACCTATTAAATTAGCAAATAGATCGAAAACAAGAGCTTTTTCATAAGATTTATCACAACAATTAGCTTAAATAATTTTCGAAGCTAATTAAAAAATTTTTTATATATCATTATAAAAATTTGACATTATATATTTTCAAATATGAGGAATAATTTTATTCAGTCAAAAACCTATATTAACAATAAAGTTTTGTCTGATTTCTGAAAGCAAAGTTTTATAAAAATTTTTTTAAAAAATAAAAAGTTTTTTTTATTGATATTTAAGCCACAAAATTGAGTAGTTAAAAGGTTTAAAACTTTATAAAAATTTTAATATATGTATAAAATGTTACTTAATTGTTATGCATAGTAGATAAAAGCTACTTGTATAATAAAAAAATTTTTACATATAAAGAATTTACTATATAGCTATTTTCTTGTTTTCTAGTTAATCAATTATTATTCTCTTCGCTCTCACTACTATCACTTTTATTACCTACACCAATTTCAATGGTTTCTCAGTATTCTTTTGCTTTATCTAAGCACTTTTTCTAGCAAGAAGTAACAATCTCTGATGTTATTTCTTCTTGAAATTTACAAAGCAATACATTACGAAGAGAAAGGATATCAAGCAATAATCGCTCACTAGCAACTTTATTTTTTACAACCCCATACTGTTTCAATAGGCTGCAACTCACAATGATATGGGGGAGTGCAAAATAATTTATAGCTGAGCCTATTGGCTATAGTAATAGTAGCAAAAAGAATTTTTTTTTTCTTTTGTCAATTCGTAGAGTTCTGCCTTTGTCATTTTTGCATTGAACCTAATATTGTAAGCTCTTAACCATTCTGATATTGTAGCCTTATTCCAGTTTGAATTTGGCATAGGTTTAGCACGATGCTTATAGTACCTTGCACCATCCATATGGATGATACAAGGTCCATAATCAGAGTTAAGAGTTTCACAAATTTTTTTAAATTTTTTTTCAAAAACTGCTGCATTGAAGTTACCATGGTAGTCTATTTTATCAGGAACAATATTAGCTGTTTTAACAGCATCTGGAACAGTCTCCCATGCTTTAAAATTTGCCCTCTTCTTTTATTTTCCAGTTGGTAGCTTCATGGTAGGATCCCAAATAAGAAAAGACTGATGGACTAATTCACCTTTTATCTGATTGTTGTTGTTATTCCAGTAAATAATAATTGCTCCAAAAATAACAAGCATGGGGCCTCTTCTTTTTTCATAAACAATGCCATCTTTTGGTAGCCAAGTTAAATTTTGGTTGTAATACATATGACAATAAGATTCATGTAGAAAACTTCAGGTAAAGTCAGTACATCATTGTTGTCTTGAATGTTTTCAAAACGACAACGAAAATATCGTGCATGATATGCAACATTTTGGGGAGCCTCATAAAGGATATTTTGCCATGCTCTCTTACTATAGAAGTATCCAAGTTTTTTAAATACCGTCCAAGTTGTGCTTTTGATACTGAAAATCCCAACTCAGATAAGTTCAAAACAAGTATTTTAAGAGAGAGTATAATGCCGGTTTGATTTGCAAATAAAATAAGGTCTTGAATGGCTTTTACATACTTAGTATCAAGACCTCCAGGATGCCTATGACCATGTTCTGATAATATAACTGTCCCAGTTTTATTAAACTCAGAAAGTACACGGGCAACAGTCACTTCACTAACTCCTGTTGCTAAAGAAACTTCTATATGTGAATTGGTAACCCACTAGAACTTGATATAGACAGAAAGAATTATTTTTTTTCTTATTAGCAGTTAATGCAATGGGGTTGCATTCACACTAGTCCATAATAAATTTGATATAATAATAATTACTACTCATAGGAAACACACAAAGCTTATTAAATAAGATTTGTGAGTTTTTTATCAGTAGCACGTAT